CCCTCCCTCCCGCCTTCCCCTCCCCGCCCCATCTGTTCCAGGCTTGCGGAGCTGTGGCTTTTTGAAATTAAACGTGATCTTTACTGTACCAGCTGGGGTCTGTAATGTATCTGATAAATGGAGCTCTTCCCGTCGGTTTCAGGTCATGCAAGGAAAAGGGCAAAGCTGGGGAGGGAGCTGGGCGGGGTTTCCCTCCGCTCCTCACGGTCAGGCGAGAGGAGTCTGGTTGATGTCTGCAGCAGATAAAGGAGACGAGAGGATCATCAAAAGACCCCAGAGCCCTTTTATCTCTCTGCCGTTTTTTCCCCCTCTAATTTCATTTATCGCTGCCGTGTTGTCTGTCTGCTCGTTTCCCCTCTTCAGAAGGGGTCGGGAGCACCAGGGCCCTGGCTGAGGTAGTAGTTTGTGCTGTTGGTCGGGTTGTGACATTGCCCGCTGTGGAGATAACTGCGCAAGCTACTGCCTTGCTAGTGCTGGTGATGATCAGCTGCAGATGAAGACAATGACAATGGGAATCCCCTTTGTTTTCCCGGGATTGCATGCTGCTGAGGTGGCAACAATTCCTTCTCCTCCTACTTCTGCAGAAGGAGTCTAGCCTTGGCCGCAGGGATGAGTAGTGGGGTTCGACCCCGTCAGGAGGATGCTGTTCCTTTCGCAGAGCTGGATGAAAAACCGTTAGTTTCGCGCTGTTTGGAGGGCGCCTGAATTTGGGCTGAAGAGCAAGTGTCTGCATTTCTTCTCGTGCTTAGACCTTATTATTCGCACGGCACCCTTGAAAGAGGTGGATTTTCCATTTTGTGGGGACAGAGATCAATGACGGACTTGTATTTTCTGTGCTCTGAATATGCAAAACTTGTATGTGTGATATTAAGTGCTCTTGTTTGAATGGTAAAAAAGCCTGATTGTTTAACAAAAGCTAAAAGATGTAATTACCACTTTCCTTACATTGATAAGATAGACTTTTTACAGTATAGTTGACTAATGGTACTGCTTGGTGCTGTCAATTTTTTAGGTGAACTTCTGAGATTTTCCCTGTATATTTTGACTGACTCATTGTGAAAAGCAAACCCGTGCATCTGCTACTGTGACTTAACTAAAATTGCTGGTATATTTATAGTGATGGCTAAGGGTATCTTTCTGATACGAATTTTAGTGTGTTGATCACTTATTACAATGGCTTAAACTTGGAATATATTAAAGCATTTACAATAAATGTGCATAACTGTCTCTTACATTTTTAAAAATGAGAGTTAATTTTTCAGTCTTTGTAAGACCTAACTATGAACAGGTTGTGGTTAATCTTTCGAGTCTGTAGTGAAAGTTAAAGCTCTAGCTAAAACACTTGAAAATAAGTTGGTACCTTAGTACTGCTTCTAATATACAGTTCTAATGTATTTATAATATTGGGAAGGGTTGGGCAAACTTACAGATATTTAACTTTGCCTCTTTTTTTGAATTGTTTGAACTCATATGTTTAGAAGACATGCAGAGGTTGCTCTTGTGCTTCTGCTGAATGTAAAGTGCCTTGCAGAACATGGGGAACATTGTACTTGCTGACAAGTTTAATTTGATGATTCCTCATTTCTACCCTCTGCAATGCATTATTCTGGTAATTCAAGCTCTGTTATAAACTAAACTTTTTAAAAGCTAGGTATTCTCATGCTCACTAATAAACTAACACATTAAGTGCTCTTACGAACAGGTTTTCTTTGAAGTAAAATAGCTATCATAGTTGTTGACTGTCTGCAAATATAAAACATACCCTGGCACTTTTTTCCCCACCTTAATCGGAAGGGGCAAAACGGCTCCTATAGCTGCGTGCTTTTCCCATCTTACCAAACAGCATATCTCAAACAGAGCCCCTTGAGGTTTGATCTGGAAGTTAGGATGATGTTTTTCACCATCTACCTTTAGGCGTCCGTTTTAGCTGGCTAATCCACTAGTCCCTCTCCCTTCAGTGGAGAAGGCAGAGATAGATGCCTGATGTAAATCACACTTTCCAAGCGCCTTAGCGTTATTTGATCTGAATTATCCTTTCAAGGAGGTTTGTCTCTGTATGTTGATTGTAAGGGAGGTGAAGGAGCTTCAGCTAAGCTAAGTGGGTGGGTGGTGTGAAATTGTCCTCCCTGTTGCTTTCCCTTCATATGCTCAGGCAACTTGGGTGGAACTAGAACTTCGCTCCCTTTGTAGCTTTTTGGGGTTGAGGGAGAGAATCAGTGGGAGAAAATGTGTTCAAGTATGCTACCATTAAGCACTTAGTTGTCTGTCTCCTGTGTAAAATACCTCCCTTAAACTTCACTTGCCACCTGAGCAATCAGTTCTTTGTGCTGTGGATGGTGACTTCACAGTTCAGGATGTTAAGAACCTGTACTAAAATAAGGTAGTGCTACTGAAATAGTGTGGGTAAGGGGACTACGGGTGAGATGTATCATGCATGAGGTCATTTGTCCTCATGTCCACATAGGTCTTGGTTATATATTGCTTGGTAGGTTTTAGGTGTGTACGTGTGAATTATTTCCTTGAGGAGTCACATTCAAGATGTTTGGCTTTGCTTTAAGGATATCCATACATTTCTTAGTTCAGAACACTTCTCAGTCTTGCATT